GGGACCAGCTGTACACGCTCGTGCTCCACGCTTTGCATTTCCCCACCCTCGTGTCCCGCCCCGATACAAAGTGGCGGGACTACCTCAGACCCATAGAGGGTGGGGAACCCCGATGGGCCAGCGTTTATTCGACCTTAATTCCGCGGCCCGTCGGGGACATCAGTTGGCGGCTCCTTCACGGAGCCGTGAGCACGGGCGTGTACTTGGCGCGGTTCACCCCTATCCCAGACACCTGCCCCTTTTGCGGCGTGAGGGAGAACCTGGCGCACACCTACCTTGAATGCGCCAGGTTGTAGCCCCTATTCCGGCTCCTCCAGAACCTCTTATTGAGGTTCTGGCTGCACTTTTCCCCTCACCTTTTTGTCTATGCACACCCAATCCGTGGCCCCACAAAGTCGCAAGACCTCCTCGTCAACATCCTCCTGGCCCTAGCAAAGACTACCATCTATAATAGCAGGAGGAGGATGTTAGACGAGGGGGTTCTCTGCGACTGTGGGGTCTATTTCTGTTCTTTCCTGGTTTCACTAATCCGGGCAGAGTTCCTCTGGGCGGCGTCCAGTGGCTCCTTCGATAGCTTTGAGGAGCAGTGGGCGCTGTCCGGGGTTCTCTGCTCGGTGTCCCCATCCGGTTCCCTAGTTTTAAACCTTTAGCCTGCACCCCTTGCCCCCTTTAGTCATTATTTGTCACAAGTAATTGATTGAGTACGGGTCCAGTCGTCCCTCCCGCAAGGCTGGGGAGGGGCTTTTAGAACGCCATCTTCCCATGATTTCAAATAAGCCCGCTCTGCAGCAGCTCCCTGGCCTGACCCTGTCACACTATCTATATATTTCTTAACCTGCTGAATGTATATTTTTTCCAGTTCTGCTGGGCAATTTTTTCTAAGGCTTAAGAGTGATTATGGCAAATAATCTGGTCACCAAGTATGTAACAAAATTTGATTAGTAGTTATTATTCCTACTACGACAATGCATTCTCTTGCACCTCCCAATGATAAACACAAGACTTGACTATAATCATAATTTCAGGTACTGCATTTCAGTAGGGACAACTGCTAGCTATATTTTAACCAGATGTGATAACTATGCTTTTTAGGTTATGTGAGACTGGAATGACAAGAGCCAGCTGCTTACACAGAATTAATCCAAAAGATGGTTATGAACAGAGTTACTGCTGTAAAAGAGAAATGCATCGGGGTGTAGGCTTTAAGAAACTGAGCAAGTCTAGCATCTTCTTGTGCTGCTGAAATTTTCTAGAATTGCAAGCAAAGCTTTCAGCTATAGAAAATATGAATTCTTCTCATCCGACAAAGCTATAATTGTTCAAATTATACTAAGGAGTCTAAACATGCTATCTTCTCTGAGAGTGACAAGGGGAAAGGGTCTGGTTGGCTTTTTTATTGTTTAAAGCAGTGATCCCCAAATTGTGGGGTATGTCCCCATAGTGGGATATGGAGGAACATTTGGGTGGGCACATGGCAGGGCCCAGGTCAGCATCCACTCTGGCCCCTTGCCCAGCTCCACTCTGCCTCCTGGTTGCCCCCCAAACCAGGTCTGCTTCTATCTCCAGCTCCTTCCTCATTTCAGGTGTCACCCCCAACTCCACCCTTGCCAACTAAGGAAGCTTTGGCTATGCAATGATGAGGAAGGGAGTCACACACATATTCCATTAACAGTAATGTGGGGTGTGACTACAAAAGTTTGTGTACCACTGTTGAAAAGGCTCTTCTGTTTCTGCTAGTGTTTTTCACACCTCTCATATTTGTCAGTAAAAATACAGTACAAAAATGTTCAAGCATTTTTTCAAAAGTAATACCATTTCTATTAGAGCAGTCATTGATAATAAGTGTGCTGAAAATATCCAGTAGACACAGCATTAAACTAGTTTGGAGAGATATTAGGGAGATGTCAAAAAGAATACAGGAGAGATAAGGCTTCCAGTGCAATGTAGTAATAAATCACTGAAAAGAAATAAAAGTAGGAAGAAAAATCAGTCTTTCAAAATTCAGTTTAACAGGGGAGAAAATAAGAGGAAGAGATTGAGAACCTTTAGCAATTCAGTAAATCCTATCGAATTGTTACGGGTGAAATTCACCCATCAGTGTAAGAGGCCTGCAAAACAGTGAAACAATTGTCATTCTTCTATACCTACACAAGGGATGTGGATGTAGGCAGGTAAAAAGGACCCACACCTAGTGAATAGTGTTGATCTGGGTTCAAAGAAGGAATTTCTGAGAAGTGCAACCCTATGGCCAATGGGAGTGCATGATAGCATGTCCCCAATTTCAGCCCACAGATGTTGAAAGAGAGTCCACAAAGGGGCTGACAGAACCTCTTGCAGAACTCATGGAGCAGACTGCACAAAGCCTCTTTATTTATTTTTTTTCTGTGGCTTCATATACAAACAGGAAAACTATGTCTAATATCAAATTTCATATTTTTCAGTACAGAGAAATAAGATTCTCTCCTCTGCTCCACAATGCTGAAAGATAATGGAACAGCAATGCTAAAGGAAGTAACACACAGGCAATAGCCCCAGGAGGGCAGTGCATGTGTCAACCAGAGCATATGCCATGAGTGAATTATATTTCCTGCTACTCCAAAATCCTAGAATTTCTGCATTGCTTGCAGTCATTTTTTGCACTTGAGGATGCTTATGCCTGAAGTTGTTTACATTGCCCTTTCACTGGAGTGTTGAGAAGGAGGAATTGAGACTATTAATAAGCCATTGTAAAACATGTAGCTTTGTTAGTCTTTTGCTACAAATCATTCCCTGATAGAGCATAAGAAGATGCCCAGTCTTTAAAAAACAAAAAAAACAAACACAGAATTCCTTCCCCACCTTTAAACGTTAAATTCAAAAAGAATCTAAATGTAGAGTACTTTTCTCTGACACTTTGATTAATCTTGTTTGTGCCTATATGTACCACCACATCATTTACTGAGGTCA